GTTTTACTAACGATTTCTCGATGAAAATGCGGTGTACAGTCACAGCCCATGAAGGGGGGCGTGTGGTCATTCGGCGGACGGCATGATAAAAAGATGCCTTATGTCAGCTGCCGCACCCTCGCAGTGGTCGTTTCAATGAATAGAGGGTTTTCTGTTTCATTTTTGAAAGCCCAAGCGCTATTTTAGTATGCGGAGGTGGCATTTTGGCCCAAAAATTCGTGTAGACTACAGAAGTCCTAATTTCAAAGGGGAGAGATTCCCATGAATGGTAAAGCAACTTGCTTCTGAATACTAAAACTTGATCTTGGTTTCATAGGCGTTAGAGGCTGTACGCTGTAGAACCCTTTCTTACCTCTCTCCTCTTTATTCGATGAGCCTGTTCGTATTCAGGTAGTCAAAGTCGATGTTAAAGATGGAACCTCCAAAGTGTGGTACAAAGACGCCGAGGACCACTTATGTGCTGAGCCCATTCTAGTGAACAAGCCTGATTATTCGAAAGAAGATGAAGGTTTGTTACTCACACTACTTGAGAAAGGATGAAACTTTCTTAACCCTTTGACGACCGTGTGGCCCGCCGGTGGGCCACACTTTCACTCGGTGGCGACTCGTTTTTCGTGGTTTATTTGGCATTTTTATGTTTCAAAACTACACAAATACATTATCGAATTCGCGGAATAATGCGCTAATTACTAATAGTGAAATTGTTGGAGAGTTAATGATTATTGATGAAAAAATTTAGAAAGAAGTGAAGTGACGCATTCATAACGGCGGTCGTCAAAGGGTTAAATACCGCTCAAGAACTTCACTTTTTTTTCTAAACTATGATAAAAAAAAAGCTGAGTTAAGATGAAACGGTACCCGGTAGCGTAACTTGTGACGCGTTGCCCTGGTAAGCATGAGGTGCGGGTTCGAGTCCCGTCACAACAGTTAGAATCAAAAAGTGTTTTTTTATACAACTGTCAATATTCGAGTGTTCCGACGCTATATGTGGGCATAGGGTGTGTGGTTACTAGGCAGCCGGCTTGCATGCATGTGCTGTCCGCTCATTGTCAGTATTCACACTTTACGGCTTCCGATTTCGAGTTTGCTATTGATACTGAATGGTTTTTTTTTCGAACCACTACGTTTCTTAAATGAGTTTTATCAAAAGCAAAGCAGTCAATGCTACTATTACAGGAGTGTTGATTGTGCCGGTCGTCACGTGTCGGGAAGGTGACAGGCCATATGTGGTCGTGCTAGATGCTGAAACTATGGAGGAGCAGGCTCGCTATGTGGTTCCACAATCACGGATTCCACTAGGCTTCCATGCGCATTACACACAACGGTCGAACTGAATGCATGCCGCGTTTACAGCGATTTCATGCCTTTCGACGTAGAGTGGCGGTCAAAAGTTAGGAAACTTCTCCATTTTTATCTCGTCTTATCGCGTCCAATGGAGGACGAATTAGTCTCAAATTCACACACCTTCTATTTTGGATGACGAGAAGAGCGTCGAGTGCAGACCACACACCACAAGTGACGGCAGCCAAGAAGAAAGTGTGTTTCAGCCCGCATGCTAGGAGTAACCCTATACACGCAAGTGCAGAGGGGAATCCGGAGTGCCGAACTACGCCAACGATCGAAGATCAGGGACGCTGCCGTTTTCGCCAAGGAATCGAAGATAAGGTGGGCCGGACACGTCATGCGATTTTGCGATGACCGTTGGACCAGAGCGGTTACCGACTGGATCCCTCGGGACGTCAAACGAACACCTGGACGACCGCCGGCCCGATGGTCAGACTTCTTCACGAAAGCTCTGAACGAAAGGAATGAGAACCGTGTCCCTCGAGCGAGGAGGATCCACTGGACCACTCTAGCACGCGACAGGGACGAATGGAGACGTTGCTGGCGCCCGCTCGAGCAATTCGATGATCAACGGGTCGACAGGTAGTAGAGGTCACTGAATGCTGAGAAGTGAGGCATCTGCGGATGGTCTGACACAACCTCATCCCGTTACTTCTAGTCTATTCCACTGCCAAAATCTGGTAACTCGTATGAGGTTGACAGCACTTTTCAGTAAGTCCACAACACTCTTCCCAATAAACAGAAACTCGACTCGTTGCTGAGCAAAACTTTTCCGGCCGCTAGTAATCCGCACTAGCCGTGAACATGCAGGAGCCTATTTAGCCTTGACTCAACGACGGTCAGTTGGAACACTTATTTCGATTTAATCCCAGACATCGCTTCCATGTTGAACAGTGCGCTCCCATTCATGTAGCAGCCGGGACCGACGCGCCATTTTCGAAAAAAAAACGCGTTTTTTTGAATACTGTTTTCGATTTTTGGGAACGACGGACACATCGTGTTTCGCACTTATTTTTGAGTCTATACTCTAATTCGGAAGACTAGAAGAGCGTCGAGCGCAGACCACGCACCGCGTAACGGCGGCACTTTTTTCTTGGTGCCGTCAGCTGATGGTGTGTTGGTGGGCTTGACGTCTTCTGCGTCATCCAAAATAGAAGGTGTGTGAATTTGAGACTAACTCGTCCTCCAATGGACGCGATAAGACGAGATAGAAATGAAGAAGTTTCCTAACTTTTGACGCTCAGTCTTCCGTCGAAGGCATGAAACGCTGTAAACGCAGGCAATGCATTCAGTTCGACCGTCTAACCCGAAACACAAAGAAAAAACTGTTTGCTTGTAATGCGCATGGGAATGCTGTTGGAAATCCTGTGTTTGTGGAACCACTAGCGAGCCTGTCCTCCATCGTTTTCAGCGTCTAGGCACGACCACTACGGCCTGTACGTTCCGAACATCGGGCAACGACCGGCCCACATCAACACTCCTGTAATAGTATGCATTGACTGTTTTTGCGTCTTGGCTAAACTCATTCAGGACGTAGTGGCAGTTCGAAAAAAACATCGATATGAATGCGAACACGTAATCGGAAGCCCGTAAGTGTGAACCCACTTGAAAGAACGAGCGGTTTTACTGACGGCAGCACGTACATGAAGGCGGCCTCTCTCGGCTACCACGCATCTATGTCTACATGAAACCGGAGAACACTGATTTGACAGCGTGTAGAAAAAAGAAACTTTTTGATTCTGACTGTTGTGACGGAGCTCGAACCCGCACCTCTTGCTTACCAGGTAACTGCGCTATGAATTACGCTACCGGGGAACAGTTTCGCCCTAACCCAGCTTTTTTCACCATAGTTTAGAAAAAAAAGTGGAGTCGTTTGAGCGGGTATTTTAAGGAAGTTATACGACATCCTTTCTCAAGTAGTGTGAGTAACAAACCTTCATCTTCTTTCGAATAATCAGGCTTGTTCACTAGAATGGGCTCAGCACATAAGTGGTCCTCGGCGTCTTTGTACCACACTTTGGAGAGTTCCATCTTTAACGTCGACTTTGACCACCTGAACACGAACAGGCTAATCGAGTAAAGAAGAGAGAGATAGAAAGGTCTATTAGGTACAGCCTCAAGGCCTATGGAAACCGACGATCAAACACGTGGACTAATTCAGAAGGCAAGCTGCTTTACATCATGGCAATCTCTCCCCTTTGAAATTAGGGATTCTTGGTTACGTCTCATCAACTTTTTGGCCAAATGTCACCTTCGCATACTAAAATAGCGCTTGGGCTTTCAAAAATGAAACAGAAAACCCTCTATTCATTGAAACGACCACTGCGAGGGTGCGGCAGTTGACAATGAGGCATCTTTGTTATCATGCCGTCCGCCGAGTTGAACACGCCCCCCTCCATGGCTGGTTGGACTGCATCCGCTTTCACTTGAGATCTGTCAGTAACAGGGAGAAAAAACTCATCCATGTTTTTTTTCGTTGTCGTCGGTGTGTAAGACAACGAACATCCACGTATCGATAGTCGCATGATCGTAAGATCGTGCCAGTTAGTAACGGGGAAATTCAAAGCGCTGAAATATAGCACATTAAAGTGATTTCGCCGCGCTGCTGCCTGCCACACGCTGGTCAAAGATCTGCGGAAAGTTAGAAAACCCACATATATCACTCAGTTTCATATCTGTACAATGAATACTGCCGTCTTCTCGAAGAATCGCCTGGCAGTCACCAGCGAATTTGCAGGAAGACAACAAATCATCGCCGGGTTTGCTGTTATCACTCACATTCAATGGGATAATCATACGATGCAAGTAAGGCTTGAATCCAGAGTTCTAGAATAATTCTGAATTCTGTGAATTAGAACTTGTTCGAATCCACCCAGAAACATGAGGAAATGCATGCTGCAATTTTTCCTGCACTCATTAATAGGGAGCAGATGAAGAGAGTAGAAGAAAAGAAAGGTAGGAATAAGTCCATCTAGCAAGGGAGGATTATTGTCCCACATTCTTGGGCCTTTCAAAACTGCAAGCCAACGAATGGTGCAACGTTTCAATGTAATCGCCTTCTCAAAAAGTGGAATAGATCGCCCAGATGAATTTCGAGTTTGAAAGATACCTATCACTACAGGCAGTCAGTACACTCTGTCAGATACTGGAAAGCTTATGCCTTTAGGAAAGCCGCTGCTACTGTTCCGGTGGTGCATATTCCCCTTTACGCACCTACTTTATCACAACCACAACCTTTAACTCAAAAACAAGTCATCGAAAATGCTTGAGCGGAGCGGGCGCCTGACAGGGTAATGTTCATCTGCTAAACTCGACGCGTCTTCGAAAAATTATGCGGCGCTCGTCAAAACCTTGGGGCTACTAAGCGAATTTTTCAGCTGAAAATCTCCAAATGCACACTAAAAACTGATAAGGAGCAGAAATGCTGAAGTAACAGTGGGAGAGAAGTCGAAGAGTAGTTGTGTGGTGGTGCTATAATGGGCAAGTTCGAGAAAGTTCTGAGAGCGGGGACAGGGATGTAATTGAAATGTAGAGTGGTCAGCACAGGAGAGACCATTTTTTGCGTATAAATAACCGGAGAGAAAGAAAGAAAAAGATAGAAAAAAATAGGATTTCGACATTGACTGTTGTGGAAGCTTAAATGACAATATTATTCCCATAGGTAAATACCAGTGACTGTGGAGCTTTGATCAATTTACATCACCTTTTGGTCCGGGTGTGGGTACTTAGGACAGAACGCGACTTTTTCGCTCTTCGCAACGCGACATCGCGCGGCAGGCTGGCGCACCCGCAGCGAAAACAACTACGGTATGGAAGAACGCGCGATTGGAGCAGCTTTTTTTGCATGCGTGAATTTGTAAGTTTCTGATTCCTTTCTTGCCCGCGCTCACACCCATTGTATTGATAACTGCAGTGAATCACTAATTCTGTCTGTTTCACTCCCCTCCCCTAAGCTTAGTCGTAGGCGCTGTAGGTGAGAAAGCTTAGAAGCAGAAAGTATGCGTTAAACAGCACGAATGTGAAAAATTGTCATATTCATGATCAGGGCCCCAAATAACCCCTATGCAGAAGTTTACAGTCGTCTCATCAAACGTCCATCAACCATTCCTCTTCCAGGTTCTCCAGAAGCTCTACCATCCATCTCTGCAAAAATAACCTACCTCCCTCTTCACTGCTAGTTAGCGGTCCACTTCTGGTTACCATTTCCTCGTTCATTATCAAATCCATGGCTATTAAGCTTCAAACTCCTTGTCGCAATCAAAGCCGACACAAATATCGCGCTCCAATCGCGCGTTCTTATATACCGTAGTTGTTTTCGCTACGGGTGCGCCAGCCTGCCGCGCGATGTCGCGTTGCGAAGAGCGAAAAAGTCGCGTTCTGTCCTAAGTACCCACACTCCCTTTTTGAGTTCCGACAAAAATAGGAAACGTCGAGGATTTCACCTACCTTTGAGCGGAATCCTCCAGTACGCATATGCTCCAGAAGTAAATCTTCAAAGTTGCCTGGATTCAACATCTTTGCGCGTAGTCAAGGACGAGAAAACCGTCTTTTTCGTAAGAGTTTGCGTGATGAAATGTGAAAAATGCGTCAGACGTCACCTAAAAGGCGGATGTGTACTAGAATAAGTAGCTTATTCATACCCCATACCTTTCGCTCGACGCGTTTCCTGTTGATTCGATCGAAAAGGATCACATTGACACCAATGTTTTCATCCCAGTACATACAATCGTTGAACGACATTGACGCTATCTGCCTGAAGTTAATTGGAGAGTGATGATTTACTTTTAAACGGTTTTCGTGTTTCATTTTCTTAGCCAGATTATTTACTTCAGACTAAAACGTAAGGTAAAAAAAACCAGCTACGAAGACGAACTGAAAACGAAGGCAGGGCGTACAGCCAACATACTACAGAGATCCATTCGCTTGCAAGACACAAGCTTTGCTTTCACATGTGTCGGAGTGGTTCCTTGGCTCTTTAAGATATTCAAAGGCACGGGTCGCGGTTAGAGTACTGGAATTTCCGTTGAAGTGTGGTAATAGGAGCCCTAACAACAGGGGTGGTGGTGGTGGTACTGTAGCAAAGTGCGGTAGTGAAGGTAATGCCATCGCTTGACCGCTGCGACAGCTGCCACTGATCAATCGCAGCATATGTGGCGTCTACGCTCTCTCACGTACAAAGTGCTCTCTCGCTTCTTCTCTCGCAGCACATTGCCTGTAACACTTCATAAGACGGACGATCCAAGGAAAATTTTAATGTTTTTCTACGAAGTATTTTTTGGCTTTTTTTCTTTTGTTTTTTTGGTTTCCATGCGCATTTCGGTCCACGCGTAGACTGTATCTGGAGGAGGGTGCGACATCGCGTGGTGACCTCTTATTATGCACCCGTCCGTCGTCATGGATGACCATTATAAGCGTCTACATAAAAAAGAAACTTCACGTAGGAGATTATTTTTGATCGCCGTCTAGGTGGAGAGGTGCCCCTGTGTGAGCAAATAAGTGGAAGAAACAGAAGTCTAAGCCTACTGAATAAAGTGAAAGTGGGACAACTTTGAGGGGTCTTCTGTTCAATAATATTGCGCGGCGAAGGTAACTTTGATAAAAGCTCAAGGAAATTATCAAATGACATACTTAGTGATTAGTCTCATGAGGCTGATGCGTTCAGGTGTCTCAAACAGGATAAAGTAGTTGTCAGTAATTCCAAACGAGTGGTAAATAGCCAGGTGCCCATCTGTCTGTAGCCGGAATCGTCGCCAAGACTTCTGTCTGCTCCAAACTGTGACTGCTTGACACTCCTGCAATTAAC